CATTCTCAGTGTTTGTGCACTGGAGGTTTCAGGTTTCCACATTAGACTTGTGTAAGTTGCACTTTGAACCACGAATGGTTTCCAAACTAGGTGTGAGACACTAGAGAAACTTTCCCACTTCAGCAGATGAATGTGAAACCAGCCATCTAGCACCAAACATTCTGACAAACAATAAGCAAAACAATACATTAGAGTGGAGGGCTTTAATTCCAGCAGTTTAAAGATGGCTTTGTTATTGGAATCTGTATATACATATATATACACATATCAAGGATGTGGTGAGTGTGGCCTCATAGTGTGTGAAAGTTGTTAATAGTACCAAAGCACACAGCTTACCGCTCCGGTGAGGAGCTCCAGTCCAGAGAAGTTTCTCTCTGCAGGGAGCACTGGAGGGTGCACAGCCTGAGGCAGCACCAGGAACGCACCCGTCACCAGGAACAGGAAGACATTGAAGAAGAGTAGGGTCTTGAGAAAGAGGAAGTATGAGAGGACTCCAGTGCCGAAACGCCCACTCACTCTCTTGAGTGCCACTTGCCACAGCTGGAGGGAGTGCAGGAAGGACAGCCAGCTGTACCAACTGTGTCTGGCAGCCTGGGAGGAGAAAGAGTGGGAGAATGGGGGGGAAATATTGCTGTAATCGTTTGTCTTTATATTGAATTATGTATTATTATTTAAGAAAAGATGATGACTGCCTACAGTATTATATGTAACATGTCAACAGCTTATTAGTTAGGTTAGGTTTAGACACAAAAAATCATCTTGGTTAGAGTATGTTCATGAATTGTCATATATACTAGATCATCTGTTAAACATCTTCAGACAAACAGAAAAAGTTGAAATGTTACAAATACTTTATAAACTATCTGTAGGCAGAAAAAGGGAAACAGGGACACAGAAACGTATCCATGTTCTACTAAAAATGACTCACAATGCAGCAGTGCAACCCCAGGATAAGTGTAAACATGTGTTTGTCGTTTAGCTTTTAAGAGTCTTAAATCTGACTCACACTCTCAGACCCGTATATGCTTGGGCGACAGAGCGATTACACTGCCTTCATGACAACAGCTACAGGAAATACCCACTGACATCCAATCACAGCCTCAGAGAGGAATGTGTTGTGCTGTCTTTTTATGTGTGTTTCTGTGTCCCATATTATAAGATATATATAATAAATATATTATATTAATTGACATTTGTTTAAGAACTCACAGCAAACCTGAAGTATACATTTCATCAACAATGTCTTCAACAGGAACAATCATGAGGTCATTATGTCTAGACAGATGATGTGATGTGACTGGGAACACAAACCAAAAGTGTGTACAAAGGACAAAGGCAAGTACATAATCAAACTACTTGTCAATCAAATGAGCCTCTTTGTTACTATACAGACTGTAAGCATCTACACCTTAATCTGCTTTAGTGCTGGTTGGTAGTGCTTAAGGTTTTTTATAATATTTTGTTAGAAAAGGAAACAATGTTAAAGTTGTCGGCATTTCTTATTTTTAAGTTCCGTTATTGTTTGCAGAATAAAAAACCCTGTATCATTCTGTGGGGCCATGAAAATGGTAATCAAAGTAATCAAAGCCTTCAGTGTATACATGATGACATTCAAATGTTTTCATATTCTATGTACTGACAGAAGAATAAGCCAATATAAACCTCAATACTATGACAACCTGCTTAATAATTAGTTGTGTACTTTTAAGTCAACAAGACAAGAGGTCTTATAGGTGCTCAGAAAAATGGTAATCTGAATATCTACTGGGCTAAACTCCAGCTGCTGATGAAGATCATGTGACACAGCTTCTAAAAGGACCTTGTGGTGAGACTGTTTTGGCTGTTTCCAAAGTTAAGAATGGTCCTTCAGTCTCAGCACTTATACTGTCTGCCTGATTAATAAAGCTAATAAAGCTAGAAATACAAACTGTTACAGTATCTAGATACACCGTCAAAGGTTAAATGACTTCTGGGGAAAAAATAGAAAACAGAAAGACGTTTCTGGTGGTGGAAGTGACTTACAATGATTATGTAATATTTGAGTCTACTGCAACAGGGGAGCTTGCTGCTTGAAAGTGTGCGTTTCTCTTTTTGCAGCGCTAACATCCTGCAGACAGGGAGACAAAGAGAGACGTTCAGACTGATGCAAAGAAAACACAATGTAGGAATGATGAGAGCAAGGACCACATCTACCTGAGTTCACTCTTCTCAGCCACACTGAGAGGCATCGCTCGGAGCATCCGGACTCTGTCACTCACTGACAGGTTCTGCAGGTTGTTCACCAAACGTTCCCTCTTACTCGCTGGAACGCACACAGGGGCAGTGTTGATTACATTATAAACTGGTCAAACACAGATGAGTATTTACTCTAGTGTCTTATCAGTGCATTCTCCTCACCCTCTGTGCCCTCTGCGTCTGTACTGTCGGCCTCCATGCCGTAGCCTCGTATGCTCGGTCTGGCTGAGCGGGAGAAGTCTCGGATGGCGGGTCTGCTCTGCCTGCGTCTCCGAAGCTGCATGGTCCTGTTGTAGTACTGAGAGATGATGGCTCCCCTGCTGCGGCCTGCCAGAGAAAGAGGATCGGACCGTTAAGAGATAGGATCAGCAAGACTTACAACACTGAATACTAAAGCTTCTTTTTGCACCCAAAGATAATGGCTTCAGGATAGGTCACTTATATCTTTTGTTAAGTTTTAAATAACCATCTCATGATTAAATGTATCAGATCTGCATCAGCACCGAAATTGAAATGTCACCATATAAAAGAATCAGTGGAAGAACAAGAGCAACACATTACAGTAAAGCTGTGAGTAAATGACTTTATGTGCCTGAATGCAGAAGGGAACTAAACTAAAAGATAAGCAGTCACCTCCCACTTAAGTTTCCCATGCTAAAAGCCAAATCAGCAGATATATCATGTGGCATAGCTAAACAAATCAGACAACAGCTATCGAGCCATCTTAATCAACAAGCTGAGGCCAGGACAGGAAGATGGCAGACACACTGCTTCCCCATGAAACTCTCAACTGAAACATCTGTTTTTATCTGTTATACCGTAGCTCAACATGTGGAGCACAACAGCACTACAGCCAGGTGTTCAGGTTCCACTAAACCAACCCATGCTAACACAGTAACTTACCTTACTGGTTTAGTATGGTACTACAAAGGCACTTTCAACAAGAGGATCAATAAAGGTGATGTCGTGAAACAGCCTTATTGGCAGTAACTATTTTTACATTTTTATTAGGCTTTGGATGGGTTTGAACGAACCTATGTATGGTTGGTAGTGTAGTATGACCCTAACACATGGAATATAACAAAAAACAATACTGCTGCATAATAATCTTTTGCACCCCTCTGAGTTGTTTACTGGCTGGGAGTGCTGATCAGTTATATCTCCAATTAGCCCTACCTGGTCAAACAGTGGCCAATGAATGACCTCCATGAGAATGACAGCCACTGAATCCAAACAGAGCAGGTCTAGCCCGTACTCCTTATAAAGTTAAAGACATTATTTAGCCAACGATTCCTGACAAGTTGAAAAACCGGTCCCAAACATTCCCTGGCAAGCAGCAGCCTACAGCAGCAGTCTGCTGTGCCATCAAATCTCACTCTATACTGTACTAAACCACTCAATAATAATCTGTCTGTATGTCACCTCTGCATCAGTAGTATCAGAGGCCTTCTGCAGGACTCACCGATGGTGCGACTGGGCATAGAGGACAGGACCTTCATGGTGGCAGAGGACCAACGTTCACCTATGAGGGGGTCTGTCTGTGTTTCATCATCCTCCCATTCCACGTCACTTCGCACCTGCCTACTTCCTCTAAAGTCATGTTCAGGGCTGGACAGGTGGCCTACATCATCTGTGGAATTAAAATAAAATAAGAAATACATGAACAATACTGCTTCTGCTGGGAAAGACATTAATTAAACATTTTTAACCTCAACATCTATAATGTGCTGATTTTGTGGATAGACACAAAACATTTTTAAGTTGACTTTTGTTAGTGATATAGTCATGATGACCAACAAAAACCCAAAACAGATTTTAAGTCAAGTTAAATGAATGCAAAAAGTGTATCACTTATTTTGTAGCTCTTACGACTAAAATGCCATTTAAGCCATCACACAATATGACTATAATCCCTGATACCTAGTCTTATATCACAATATGAATATTAAATTCACATAATACCTAGCTCTTGTACAAATTCAGCCCTCCACATGCAGACACGCATCTATGTTCGAACACAAAGTACCTCGACCCTCCTCATCCAGGTCTCTCTGCAGCTGCTGCAGCTCGAAGGCTTCGGACGGTTCTCCATTCTGACTCTGCTCTGCTATCAGCTGGCTGAACGAGTCGTGAACACCTTCCTCGTCTATTGGACTCCTGACAGAGGGACACGTGGACATTAGGACAGATACAAAGACAGAGGGTGATACAGGCTCAGAAACACAGGTTTGAATCAAAGACACAATCACAGATCCAGTGTGTTCTGAGGACTGACAACGCTAGAGTTAAAGTGCAATGACCTTCTGACTCACGCACCAGTAGTCACATGGGGGGAAACTGCAATCCAACAACCCAGAAAGAGTCTATGATGTCATTTACATTTATTTGTCAATAGTGCAGCCCAGACTGCCTTCTGTGTCACCCTCTTCCGGCTCTATCTACATGTACTTTAAGCCAAAGCAGACTGGACTGACTGTTTTTGTCTTAAAGCCGGACAAGAAAAACAAGAAAATACAGCGAGTCCAGTTCTCTTTGACTTACTACTTTTACACAGACAGCACAGGAGGAGGGCCACATAAGGGCCAATCAGGTCTGTGCTGTTTTCAAAGATTCCCTCACATACAGACCCACTGTATGCAAACACACACGCACATATTCAAACATACTTTCAAACAAACAGACAGAGTCTTTTTCTATGAAGACAATGCAGTGGTCACATGGTTTAAAAACATAAATGAAAGCCCTAGGACAATGTGCATTATGATCTGCCTTCCCGTTTAGTGTCCAACAAGACATCAAAGAGCACAGCTTATCTCCTCCTCTTGGTTCCTTATTTTCAGCCTTCGTGTAGCGAAGTACAGTAGCGCTAAGTAAGCTGACAGTTTGAAACAACAAATGGAGCAGGAAAACTGAGGAAGAAAACAGCAGGAACGAGAGAACTACTAAAACCCTTACTCCAGTCCAGCTTCCACGAGAGGGTGGGTCAGGTCGAAGTTAACATTTCGAGCCATTCTTCGTCTCCTCCGTCTGTCTCGGTCTGTCCAGCCGTCCGTCTCGTTATCGACCAATCACAGAGGGATCACGCCCTCACCTGCTCAGACCTGCGCTCCACTCCCACCATGGTGATTGTTCGTCTACCTGAGAGAGGAGGGGAAAATGAGGGGGAGGCGGGGCAGTGGGAAGTGAGTGAGTTAGACGTCAGGGAGAAATGCCAGCAGACCTACTTGGAATGTCAAAGCTCTTGTCATGTTACTGCTTGTCGGGCGCACACTTCTGCCTGCACAGGAAACCAAACGGGAGGGCTGTCTGTGGCTCTTTCAACCTCTTGTCCCAGTATCACTTTGCATTAATATGCTTTGTGATCTGTATGTAGATAAAAGTTTCAATAGGATCTCATATAATAGAACTACCGAAAGGCTACAGGAAAAAACAACTTCAAATGTTGCCGTTTAAGATATTAGTCATCCATTTTTGCACGCTGCCGTTATTCACTGCCCTTTCCCATCAATGCCAAGTGACCAGGATAGCGTCCTTTTGTCCAGACTCATGAGAGCTCCATTGTGCCGCTGCTTGTGATCAGGGTTGTGGTCAGAGTCATATGGCAAAGTGTCACCAATCAAATGAATATTCATGGGGAAACACAGAATGATGCATTGTCAGTGTGTCGTATGGGAGGTTTTGGAGGTTTTGGAGGAAGCGTGTTAGTTCCTGTGTGTTTGTGTGCATTTTAAAGGCCTTCACTTCAGCCCAAACATCTGTCCTCGGTTATGTGCAACAACTGCATGTAAACTTTCATCCCAGACCCAGAGGGGACACGTCCTGTTGTTTTAACACGTCATCGCAGACGTCATCATATTAAACATTAGTGAAGTGTTTAGGATTTCACAGAAACTGGATCCAGATCTTCATTAGTGACCAGCAAAAGCTCTTCAGCAGATTTATCCAAGCCTGCCGTGTTGAAGCAGAGACTAAAAACTATCAATTCTGCTTAATGCTTGCTCTTTAGACACCATAGTTGGCCATCATCAACATAACATATATCCACATAAACAGATGGATTACTTTAGTTTCACTTTCAGGGTGACTGATTTTGCCATAATATTTATACTGTGGTGGCTCTCTCTTTGATATCTTTGGGTCATTGTGGGCCATGAGGCAAATCAATGAGCAGTACTTTTTATCAGAATTATACATTTTTGTTCAATCTTTACATTAATATGATATATATATATATATATGAGTATTTAAGTGCCTGGATTGGCCAAAACCAGCCAAACCCATTTTTTCACTGCATACAGCTCGAAAGAAGGGAGGGCAATATAGAAAAAAATGTTTTAATGTGGCCTGAAAATGTCACCATAATCAGTTATTTGGAAAGACAACAATGACAACAGTGCATTAAGAAGTGGCAGATCTAATAGAAAGGATGCTGAAAAGAGCTTGAAAGTCCATGCTATTCATTGGATGTCTTTAGGAAACAGCTTTTCTCAGAAGCAGGAAAACAGCCTGAAATATCACCAAGGAGGAATATCTGCTCCAACTGGGCAACATGCTATAAGTTCACTGTTATGTAGGTTGCAAAAAAACCTCTGATCCACTTCCTGTTTACATGCACCCACTTCTGAAACAGTAGTTCCAAATAATGACATGACTCTTGAGACTGTGTGTGAGAACATCTGAAGGTTGGTGGTTTTGTAGCTTACGATAAAAGCATCTTCCACATCACAGATAAGAACAGTTGGCTGTGTCTGTTGAATGTAATGAGTCCTGGGTACATGACAACATACAGGTCACTATGTGATGAGTTCAATCATTGCACAACAGAGACATGGGCCTCTGCTGGGGATGGAGGTGTTTCTGGGTCTCGTCTTGAGTGGAAATGGTGTGAGCTGTGTGCGTACAGCAGGGCGCAGCTCTGAATGTCAGCCAACACAATGACTGAATGACTGAACGGCTGAAAAATGCCCTTCTACCATGGTCAACCTTGCTCCGTCTCTTGAGCTCTTTCTTTTCGGGCCCCGTTACAGCAATCCACTGCACACATCTGCTCCTCTTCCCTCGCTCTCAAACATACTTTTCTCATTAGTTGAGGTTTTCCAGGATCATGTTACAATCCCATTTCATATATGTGTTTAGTTTGAGTTGCGTTTTCTCAATTGTGCAGGGCGTTGTATAGCAAACACAATGGCTTTATGCACCACTGCCGTTGAGGGGGGGGCTGCTCATTCTCTAACATTGTGCGTTTTAGCCCAAAATTTCGAAGCAGTCTTGTGGGACTGTAAAGCCACAGCAGGATATTGTGAGGGTGGGACAAACAGCACAGCCTTGACAGGGGGTCAGAGTTGAGCTGCACTACTGCCAAATAAAATATACTTGGAAAACAAAGTAGGGGTTAACAGAATACAGACTGGTCCAAAGTGAGTTTAAGTTGGGTTACAAGTTAATGAGAGAACACGGTTCCACAAAAAAGGAAATAAGCAGTATCAAACCAGGACAAAAAGTTCACCAGAGCTACAAGAAGTACAGAGGAGCGGTATAATCTAGATACAAGGATCCCTGTCCACAAATAAAAACACCACATCTGTCAGAGGGTGGGCATTTTCCACTGGCAAGAAGCAGAAGGCAGTTATCAGCAGATACGAGGGGTTAGACATAGGGATAAAAGGAAGGGAGGGCAATCTATCCACCCTGACAGTTTCAACAACTGCATGACAATCAGTACCTAGAGAGCTGAGAGAAACCAACAGAGGACGCAGGGAGGCATAAAGTGACAGTAAACATGGCAGCAGAGATACTTGCTAAAACTAGTAACAGTAACAGGATACTGGCAGAGGGGATTAAGGCAGACAAAAGGGAAAAATGTGCATTCACAGGACTGTCTCCACCAGTCAGCCAGGCGCTGTACACACACAGTTACTGTTGTTGCACTCTGGGGCCCATAACACTGCAAGCCTCACCGCCAAAGGACACCAAATTATAGGTTCAGTGTTGGATACTTGACAGGCACTGAAAGCCCCGATGTTAAAACACACAGATGTGGCACACACACACACACACACACACACACTGGAAACATATCCTATCTACCTCCCTAGTTATCGACCTGTGTCCATACAGCTAAAGTTTAAGATGTATGAGAAAGCGAAAAGAGAAAGAGTTCAGGTTTCTACAACAAACCTCCCTGTGGTTGCTCGAAAGACGACAAAAGCTCAGAGACTGTCTGAGATTAATCTGCTGCAGGCTGAACAAGCTCACAACTCACAGCGACACAGGGCAAAGTACCACCGTCTGTTGTCGACCAGCTCACTGACGAGCGGCGGAGAGCTCGTCGACCTGTCAGTCACTTTAATTAAACTGACAACATTTTTCTGTGGAGGTGCCAACGAACCGGAGGCTCTACTAAATCTTGAGGTAGTTAAAATAAAACTCAACCCCAGTTTAAAAGTTGCCCAAAGAGAAGCAACAAGTGTCCACTCACCCGTTCAGCGACTTCACCGACCAGTCAGTCAAAATACACTGACTGCACGCGCTAACGGACAGCGGCGGGACAAGCCATTTTGTCGGAGGGATGTTGCGTTTTTTACTTTTTCAACAGTAAGACCGAGAGCTATCAGCCTTCAGTAAGAAATTTGCAGTTATCGGCTTAAACTTCGTCTTGCTTTCCAATACATCCATGAATTGGCCCGTTTTTCATCAGTATGACACTCTGCTGATGACGGGGTAAATGCGACCCCCGCGGAGTTAGCTCTCTTGGTTCAGTCCTATTCAAGCTCGAAATTCTTCTGCTGGTGTTTGTCTGCTCAAACAATGCAGAGGTACACACACACACACACCCACACACACACACACCCACACACACACACAATGCTAACCTGATATATGGAAGCGGTCAGTGTTATTGTTTTAATCAAATCACATAGAAATGGTTACGTGACCTTTAAATGGTGAGTCTACACTGAAAGTAAAAATTAACTGGAAATAGAGTCAGACATTGAATAACACTGATGTTAAAGATAGATGGTCAAGCCTAAAAAGGTTATACAAACAATATGCTACAACAAGTAACTACTACTGTACACAAAGCTGCAAGTGTTCACTCACCTGTGCATAGCTCACCTGGCCACACCCAGGCTATCTCTAATAACCACTGAGTGAGGTTGTTTGCAGAGGGACCTATTTATTTTACTTCACTGCCAACAAAAAAGGCCACAGCTAAAAGGGTTTTTAAAAAAATTAATAAACCAGTCAATGATTATATGTGTGACATTTTGCTGCTCATAGGTGTTTTTGTTGACACGTCAGTACAAATGTAAATATTATGCACATGCTAGTATGAATTTTGCATACTGGCTCAGTGTCACACTGTCATGTATTACTGGGACACAAGTGCTGTTTCTTCCTATTTTTACCAATAATTCATCTGTTATTCACATGCTTTATGTTTCACCTACAAAGGGACGTTGTTTTCTTAACATTTGAAGTAAAACCTGATGTGCCCATAAGTTACTGGTAATGGCAGTGTAGAAGATAATCTAATCAAACAGTAGAAAGTGAGTTAAAAGTTATCAACATACCTGGTGGATTTTCAACATGTCCAAACAGGGGCACAGGTCTTACTTAATGTATACATGTAACCACTAGCATTAGGTGAAATAGAAACACAAAATGTACTCGCTGTAACTTGCTGCAGTAGGTAACTGTAACTGTAAATGTATTTTTAATTTTTTTATTTGCTGAAGTTTGGCCTATATCCTGACAGTAGTACATGAGACAGATCATCTGTGAAAAATCTGGTTCCTCTGGTTCCTCCGACTGCTCCTAATGGCAAGAATCTGCCGTACATGAGTCAAATGAGGAGCACTAAGAGGAGGCGGGGTAACTCTCGTGTATGTCTGTTAGGAATATATTGACAGTTTCAGCAAATATGACAAAAAATGTAGTTTTATAATAGTTTATTTTAATATAGTTTTATATAGCAGCTTTAAGTACAGTTTTTAGGTACTGGAGTATTTTATGTTTATTCTTGAACTACATTTCTGAGGCAAATATTTACTGCACTACAGAAACTGGTTACTTTAAACATCATCATATTTTTTTAAGCTTAAAAGTATATATAATGCTTTATGATGCATTGATATAGATTAAACCTTAAATCTTAAACCAGCTATAACATAAAATGGCACATAAATAATGATGAATCTGTAATAATAATCCAATAAAAAGTTGTATTTCTGGTACTTTTAGTTCACTTTTCTGCCAATATGTCCGTACTTGTACTTACGTGAAACGTTGAATGCAGGACTTTTACTTGTAGTGGAGTGTTTTTATCTTGAACAAATAGACTACCAGACTAGTTTCCACCACTGCTCGTCCAATATCTGCTTGGTTAGAGAAAGCAGGTATACGAGAAATGGATTAATCTTAACAGCCTCTGTTTCCAAACAACACACACATCTGAGTGTTCATGTCTCTGTGTAAATGAAAATGATCAGTGTGAAGTGTCAGTTAAATTGAAAGTATGCAAAGCAGCACATAACTCTCATGCTCATGTTTCTTTGTAAACTGACTGGAAGCCTCAAATGTCTTTGTGGTGTAGCAAGTGGGTGGAAAAAGCCTTGCTGCTACATCATCTTGTACATTAGATTCAAAAGTTTCCAAATGATGAAACACTACCCAGTGAACATCACGTCTAGTCTACTTATTGTCAAAGTTTCCATGGATTCAGTGAAAAAGACTTAATTTAAAGGGAAATTGAGCTTTTGGCTGTGACATTGCTTCAAACCATTGACTGTATAAATAATATTCAAATTTAATCTGAAATCAAATGTTTCTTTTGAAGCATTGTTCCTGAGTTTATTACAGAAAGTTATCTGAAAGCAGATCAGATTGCACAATAAATTCTTAATGGGAAAAGCTCTTTCTGTGTTACTATCATCTACAGTTAAGTGCCTGAATCCAAACCTCAAATGTACTCATCTGATTATAGCCATCAGTATCTTATGACTTGTTTTACTTCCAGTGAGTATGTGTTGTTATGTTGTGAAATTTTTTGTTATATTTTCAGCCACTGATGCAGTGCCTGTTTCTGCTTCCTGTCATGTGATTTCCTGTATACTGTCAAGTTCTGACAGCCACACAGACTTATGGTGGACAGACTTCACATCTGCTCTTCCAGGTCACAAAGTGAGCCACACCAACAGGACTTAGAGGAACCACACTCACTCCAGGTCAGCCGCTCCGGCGTCAGTGTGGCGTCAAAAGTGAGGTGCAAAGTAGGGTATTTTGATTCAGTTTGCGGAAGTAACTTTTCACAGAAGCTTAAGTTGCTGCATTGGTGGAGATGTTTGCTGACTTTGGTTCTATATGAAGCAAGAAGGTTGGGGTTTGGACATCTGTTATTAAAGAGGAAGTGTACGGAGAGAAAAAATGGAGCCGCATCCTACTGTCAACTTCATGAGACTCCGGTCAGGTAACAGAAAAATAATACAAATGTGGCTGTGCGTTTGCCATTTATGTGTGTGTGTGAGGCAGAGACGACATCTTGCTTGTTCAACACTGTGTCTGTACTTTAATCATCTGTAAATTTGTGTGGGATTATGATGTACCTTTACCTACAGTTTACAGAAACAAAGAGCCATGATTATTAATTATTAATACGTTAATAAATATGTTATTAAGTTTATGTCTAACACAGGCCCACTATCACACTCACATCCAAAACCACATCATATAACTTACTGTAAAATAGATGTTTCTCTACTTTTGGAGTAAACCAGATGATACTCTGCATAACATGCAACCTCCACACAGAAAAGGCCGGTTTGGAATTTAATGCTTTAAAGTAACATGTCAACATGTTAGTGCTGCTCAGGTCTAAATCATACAAATATTTCAGGAAGGGTTCAATTTTAGTATTTTATTTTGGCTCAGACTTCTTTTTAACACATTCATGCAATGCCAAAAAGAATACACTTGCATGATCTATGAATTGTATTGTATACTTTTATTCCAATGTACCCAAATAACACTGGCTTACAAGAAACTACTGACATTGCATACAGAGAAAAACAAAAAGGGAAGAAAGCAAACATATTGTTTTCTATCCAGATCTATAAAAACATATTAGACATAAACAAATCAACAGAAGCTGAAATTATTAGTCCATTAATCCATTAGTCAAATTACTTTTACAAACTACAATTATTTTGGTGTTTTATATGATTATAAACTGAATATCTCTGGATTTTGAACTGTTGAAAATATAACCGTGGGCCCTTTGCATCATTTCCTGTGAGAAAAAACATACACTGTAAAATAACATTCATGTGACATTTTCACCACAGAGGACAGCACCCATTCCTCCCTGTCGTCCGACTCCTGCGAGTACTATCAGACAGAGATATTTGATCAGCTGCCCAGCATACAGGCCAGCCGGTCCGAGCAGAACACACAGGGTAATTGGGAAGCCCACCAGGGTCGCCTGGAGACGGGGGAGAGCCATGGCCACCTGTCCAGAGGACCCAAAGACAAGGCATCTACACAGCCGCTCAGGAACATGGTCATGTGTATTCAGGGGAAGAGAGACGCCAGGTGTGAGAGCCTAATACACACCCCTCAAATCTGCAATATGCTCCTTCTTATTCTTACTTTGACATTCTGGTGGAATTCAGTCACCTACTCTAGCACAATATGTAGCACCCTGTAATTCAGTATGCATTTGATTTTCCTCCTAAATTGACTATCATATTTTATTTTTTACCAGTATTCCACTTTAATACCAACTTTTCTTGGGGTGCAAACCCATAAAATCAAGTTTTGTTTACTTGTCTTGTCTTATTTGTCTGTGTGAGTGGTGGCCAGTTCAACCGAAGAGTGAGGTTCCCCCCTTAGATTGTGGTATTTGAGTACTTTTTAGGGGCCTGAAGATTTATTAGTCAGCAATTCACACGCATAAAGGAAAGAAATGCAAAAAATATATGTTTTTGTGTGGCAGTAATATATTCCTTCAGCTTTCCTATTTTTTTTAATAATCTTGTGACCCCTCAAATTTACCATAATCCTGTTGGGTCGGGGGTCCACACTTCCCGGCTGTGAGGCACTGCCTGAGAAAACCCTTAGAATATAGCTTTGCTGATACAGATACATAAAACATCTGCTGCTGCTCAGTCTTTGTTTCTTTCAGGAGAATATTTTTTGTCTGTTTCAATCATTTCAACTTTGCAAAAGCCGGCCTGTATTCTAAGCACATGCTCTACCAGATGAGCTTCCGTGGGCCAGACAGATTTTATTTTTTAGAAAAAGGTCAAAATCTACACAGCACTGGACAACTGGATCCTAAAATCCCCATAATGCAACATCTCTATTCACAGATGTTGAACACCCACGCCTTTCTCACCACCACTGCTCTCACAGACTGAGTGGTACTCCCCACGACTGGTACATCAGTCTTACTGTGTAAAATCAGTAGAGCACCCTTTCACATCCTCTCTGTTCAAATTTTAGTTTAGGAAAAGTTTGTTTGCCTAAGTAGGAGATTAAAAATGTGCTGCC